GGGGGGGGAAACTAAGTGCTTTGGACTTGGACAGAGCATTCCCAGTGGGCAACAGTAAAACAGTTTATAGGTACAGGTGCAGATACTGCAAGACACTGACCATTTTCCCGAACTCCCAAAGAGGATTCCGATTTAATCCTCAGCGGGAGGATTATAAAATTATAAGTGTGTGTAGATATACACACAGCATATAGCCTATATATACTTCGTAATACAACAGATTCAATTATAGCAACAGATTCTTATAACAGCAACTCTTTCACTCCTTATCACAAATTACTATACAATGCTATACAACTAGAAACCACATCCCCTGTTTGCACCCCTTGTTAATTTCTCAGCATGAAATGCCAAAAACTGTGATTTGTGCTTCTCAGCTAAGCACAATAAAGCCCTTTTAGCATTTTTATCACATGCTATTGATGCCATGGTTTGGCGAAATGAAGGAACGTGCTGGAAGGGATGTCACATTTTAAGGTATATAGAACTACCAGAACAATACTCCAACAGTGCTTCTAAATGACAGGAACGAGCTCGGATTAAGCAACTCCGATCCAGTCCAACGCTAGTAACAGGATCATCACTGGATGGAGTGCTTCATCGACATCTGTAGCTATGAAGAATATTTGGGCCTCATGAAAGAAAAATGAAGAATCAATGCTATTCAATGAAGCTACACATCTGCAGGTTGCACATTTACATGTAGAGATTTGAAAAAGTGCAGTGCTTTCTGATTAGTCCAGGCTCTATTTCTCCATTAGATGATGGCTGTGCTTCTGCATAAAGGAAAAACTATGAAAGCTAAGTCCTTTGAAAAAAATGAACTGGATTTGGTGGCAGCAGCACTGTTTATAAGTCAGTTTGTTGTGATCACAGTTGAGCTTACTTCACTTATGTATTACATCATTAATGTGGAATGATGTTGAAACCTTTGCTTCACTTGTTACTGCAAAATTTAATTTTAAACTAATGCCTTAATCTTACAAATCAAAAATGCTGGATCCACTATGAATGTTCCAAAAAAGTCTCTCTGCTCAATCTGGGCTCAGCTTCATACACTGGCTCACTGAGTGATCTTGAAGTCTATCAGCTATTACACACTGCACAAAGGCACAACCCTGTGGTCCATGTGTAACAGTTTGCTAAATTTACACCGTGCATTTTAACTAATAGTGCACAAAAAAAGGTACTGATTGCCCATGCAAGAATGTCAATGCAAGAGTTGAACAATGTAACCCTTTTCAAACATGACTTTCAAACTTTTTGGCTAGTAATCTCTTTACGAATGAGGCTACATCCAAAACAAATATAACAAACCCAACTTTACTGGGCTAATTTCAATCAACGAAAGAGTTTGATTAAGCACTCGTTTATATATTCATTCAAAGATACTTTTCAAATTACAACAACTTTACCAATCATGGCCTCCTAATAATCCCCATCTATGAATTGGCTTCATTCCTCTGTTTTCCTCCCCACTGATAGCCGATGTGTGGTGAGTGTTCTGGCGCACTATGGCTGCCGTCGCATCATCCAGGTGGATGCTGCACATTGGTGGTGGTGGAGGGGAGTCCCCATTATCTGAGCGCTTTGAGTGGAGTGTCCAGAAAAGCGCTATATAAGTGTAAGCAATTATTAAATATTATTTAAACCTTGTAACCCAGATCTCCAGCACTGAAGGCAGCAATGCTTACCACTGTGCTACTGTACCAACCAATATAGATTCAGGTTGTATATAATAGATTTTCTTATACAATAAAATAAGGGTAAAGTTCAGTACAGCAGAAAGAAAATGGTGCAGTCACACTAAAAGTAAGATCCTGAAATTGAAAAAAGGCTGTGGAGACAGTAGGCTCGCCCACATGCTGCAGAGTTGACAAGAACACTGACAGCTCAGAGACAGCTGACTTACTGCATTACAGCAGAATGAAAGTGACTTTCTGATTTAGATCAGTGACTAATTCTTCTTGTAAGTGAGAGGGACTTCAATGGCATTGTCTCAGAAAGTCAGCTTCACAGATATAATCGACAAAACCGGGGATAGGATACATAGAATAAATAGAAAATGCACAATGGGTTTTGCATATCACAAAGACGTGATATGACAAATCAACAAATCCTGTATATAGACAAAATATAACTTAAATATCTTGGGTCACAATATAAAAACTCCATCCATTGCCCGTGCAAAATCTAAAGTTACACTGCAGAGATTTTTCCTGCAGCCAAAGCATTCCTTTTTACCACTGCAATCAAAGAAACTGATTGATTCTGTGATGTCCAGAGTCCAAAATTCATATGCACATTTGAATGGACAAATGTCTCTCGTTTTGGTTACTGAACTGATTCTTGTGTCGAAGCACACTGAATATCCAAATAAAGCCCTCGGTGGTTTTGTAATCTCCATTTGATTTAGATTTCACAGATTTGTTTTCTTCAGTAGACCAGGACAGAAACTCTTTCTTGAATAGAAGACCACAGCCAACAGAAGCAAAGAAAAAAAAAGTTATTTGCACTGTTATGGTCTCTCGCCACTGAACCCTTTTCAGCCCAAAACTTACTGCTTCATGGCAACAATTTTGGAATCCATGGTTTCCTGCTTTCCCCTCATAAACTGCACATCGTTCAATAGTTTGGCAACGTCATCGTGGCGCAGTTTGAGGTCCTCGTGTTTGATATTTGAAACCTGAGAGACAGGAAGATGACACTTGTAAAAACCCAAGTAACGTCTGACACAGCCCATCCTGAACCCACAGCAAAACACAGGATAATTTATGGCTTTTTATTCCGCTTCATTTCATAACATTTAGAAAGGCAGAAGGAAACAAAACTCTGCCTATCCACAGCCAAGCACAAGTTTTCATAACCTTGTAATTATCTTAACGTTTTGCAACTTAAGAGAGAAAATGTAGCTTTTGCATTTAAATATCTTCCCTTGATAATCAAACCTTTGGCTACTACGATAAGATCGTTATTAAAGAACAGGCAGAAAACGAGGCGCTTCAGATACTGTGTAGTTAAGCTTATCCCTCTCAGAACAGAATGAGACATAAATTACTAACTAGCCATTTTTGAAATGATTATTTCACACTGTCTTATTTTACAGCTGATTTCTTCTTTTCAACAAATTATACCCTTGGACTTTATGCTTCAGGGCCTAGAATGTCTCTGCAGAACCTTTCACACAGATATGCATCTGAAAAAGCTGCCTACTTACATTGGTTACTTTTCTTTTGATATTCTCCAGCAAGTGCTCTTGCCCTCGGGTGAAATACGGATGCTGGAATTCAGTATCGTCTTTCTCCGGCTTCACTAAGCCACCTTGCTCAATGTGAACAACTTTGCGAAACCCATCTGTTCAGAAATAAATGAAATGGTGAATGAGGGCATCAAATATTTCTTCATCCTTTAGATTTGTAACAAAATGTATTTAACAATAATACTTGAATAGCACAACGGATGTTTTAAAAACAAAACATATATCTCTAGGTCCCTACCTAAGTTGTGGTAATAATATAATAACATCTGTGGCTCAGCTAAGGGTAAAATAAGAAAACTCAGGAGTGCCGTGATTATCATTCTTTAATAATCGTAGTAATACATCAAATATATTGGATTTTTTTTTTAAAGAATGCAAAAAAAAACTACAGAAGTATTTTATACAATCTAAAGAGTTTGACTTTAATTGTATTCACTTGGAGACATCTATTAACAGCAGAGGAGCTACCGTTTCTAACTTTTTTTCTAGGATTTTTATTTATTTAAATGGAATTCTTCAAAAAAATGTACCGGATCACAGATTCTGAGGGATAAAATTGTGCCCTGATACAAAAGCAGTGTGGGTTACAGACAGGAACCCTACTGTTCCAGTTAGGGAGAGAAGCCAGGAAAAACTGACAGTATATGCTGTCAAATGCCGCAGCTGATAGCGAGTGCTGTGAAGTAAATGTTCAGCACTGAACTGAAACATTTGCTGCAGTTCTGCATTTTGTAATGCAATCTTGTTATACAGGTATGAAGCTTAATATCGTGGGATCTGCAATTTCTTCAGAATCAGGAATTGAGGAGGGCCTTAATACCATAACATAGATCTCCAGACCAATACAAGACTGTTTCCCAATTCCTGCTTCTTATCACTACCTTGAAACAGGTGACTAAGCTTAGACATGATGTATTAGTGAAATTCAAGATCCTGGCAAAAAAAAAAAAGATGATAAAACTACTTCAACATTCTGTCAAAGCTGCAAAAACTACACTTTTCACAAGGATTTTCTCCAAAACGTGAAAGAATGCAGTGCAGATGCAAAATATTTGATATGTGATTTATAGGGAATTATTTAATGTGTTGAAACGTCTGCAAAGTTGGGCGTGTGTTCGAACACAAATGAAAGAGCCGCGCTGGTTAGAAAAATGCAGCGTGAAACCCTCTGCTAATCACCTCAGAGCTCCTGACTCCAACATGCTCATATAGCAGCACCACGTCCCTGCCTGCGGGGACAGTTACCATGCTGTTAGAAACTGTTGTGGAGACCATCGACAAAAATAATGATGCCCAGCCATATTGAAATGGCACCCTCCACACGCACCTCAACAATGCAGAAGGGGGCACCTGTTCTGGCACCTTGGCCCCGTTTATGAGTTGAAATAGGGGGTCTGATATCTACACTATGGAGACAGTAATTCTAATTGAAAACTGGACAATTCCATGTTTTTGGGTGAGTGTGCTTACATAGCAACCAGCTACACAAGAATACAGCCAAGCTCTTTGAATTGTTAACTTTTAAAAGAATGAAATGACACTCACACATATTAAGCTGGCGGACGAAGCTGGCCATGTTGTTATGCTTGAAGTATTTGGGAAGCACCTCCTTGGAAAACCTGCCCTGGTCGAACACATGGAAGCTGGTGCCATTCTGCAAAAATGAAGAAAACAAAAATCATTCCGCACACATTAGACACAGCAAATGCCACAGGTGAATCAACATTATAAGCCTTCGGCAGTAACGGACAACAGGAAGAAACTTAACCCCCACAACTAGTGCTAGGCGATAATTCGATAACGATAATTATCGCAATATAATTTTCCTCGATATAATTTTAACAAAAGTTCGATAAATGTTTGATATATGTTTATGCTTTGCGCATGCGCACAAAATACTAATGTGCAGCTACTAACGGGCAGCTAACGTGGTGGTGTTTACCCACACGGTGGTGGCTGACAGGATTTGTAGTTAGAGTGGAGAAATGAGCGACACTGAAGCAAATGTAGTGCTGCCAACGACCAGCTGCCAAGGACGATGACATCGTCGACAGAAAAGGTCATTCAACTTTGGTAATTTGGAGATATTTTGGCTTTTTACGATCAGACATCAAACAGAGCACTTTAAACTTTGCAGTCTATCTGAGCCATCTTCTATGTGTGATTTATCACACTGCAGTATTTCATTTTTCTATTAAGATATTTATTTTGTAAATTTTACTCATGCATATTTTGACATAAAAAACACTTGAATACTCTCTACCTCAGATTTGTTTAATGTTTCTGCTGTTTGGCAAGTGTTTGTTGTGTTCTTAAAATAAAGAGTTGTTTAATTTACCAATTAACCGTCTGGTTTCTTCAACTTTCACTTAGGAGAAAAAAATCTGCCTTTAAACTTGAAAGAAATAATGATTTGACATTTATCGTGATAATTATCGATATCCACTGATATGAAATTTTTTATCGTGATTATGTTTTTGGCCATATCGCCCAGCCCTACCCACAACTGTGTACACTTTCTTTGAGAGGAGGTGAAATTGGCCATAAAACTCTTTCAGGTGCTCATAGCTCAGGAGTCACATCCCACCACATAGCCTGAGAGGAGAAAACGCAGCTGGGTCAAAAACTGTGCCGTCTGCGAACTTGCTAGAACATTGTCTTCAAATGTCTGTGACTCATAAACCTTTAAATAAATGCATTTCATTAAACACAGAAATGCAACAGGACTTACCCCAGGTTAGGATTTCTGGGCAGCCATATACTTTAAATACTATAAAGTATTTATACTATAAAGCTGGTGATTATTCTTTTGATTTTTAAGAACAAAAAACTTCACGGGTTTATAGCCTGTGGACATTTTATAGCACATATGCTGTAAAATGAACAAAACTCTGCCATCTCCCTCATTACAAAACCTGGTTTAAAAAAAACAAAAAAAAAACAGATATGCTTGAGAGACGGTGTCAAACTTCTGAGACTGGAATACTTGTCTTCCTTTATCCTTTCACTCTCTAGAAACTGAGTCTAACTTCAAGAGCTAAACAAACCCTCAAAATAATGTCACCTACCGGAGAACATTAATCCATCAAACTATACACTGAAGAGGGGAAACTGAGGCTTAAAAAGAGATTCAATTTCATATATGAATCATATTTATAAAAAGACTGATACTGGCCATTTATCTTAGTGCAGGAGTGTAATAAACTCCGGACATATTTTCAAAATATCTTCACTCATTTACGTAAATGCACTCAACACGCTGTCATTTAGGCCACAACCTCTACCTGCCCAGGTTTAAGAACAGATGGTGAATTTGTCTTAAAATGTGAATGCTATGACTGATCCAATAGTTTTTTTATATTTCTGAAATTTCAAATGCAGATGGACGTATCGCTATCGTTTTTACTATTGTTCACTACTAATGCAGTAATAGGCATCATACTTACAAGGACAACTGGATTGAAAATGGATGAATAAACTACTTTAATGACTGCATCATTCACTCTCAATATAAATCACCATTTCCTATTAGACATAAAGATAAAAATGCACATTGTGCAATGTCAACCTTCTATTTCAGCCCATTTTGTGAATACAGAATGCCTGGAAGAGGAATCCTAACTGTTATTGAAAATCTTAGACATCTACTAAGGCATACCACATAGTGGATGCTTTAGAAACTATTTTTAGAGCTCCCCAGAACCCTACCCCTCAAAGAAATGTGGCTTAAGTCAATTTTAAAAAGGCTGCTCTTCTTTGACACATGTGCCAGGCAACATCTATTCTCTCAATGTTATTGGGTTGTGCTGTTCAAACCAATTTCTGGGCTGCTAGGAGTTTTTAATATGAGGTAATGGATACATCTCTAAGGGTTCGAGGGGCTAATAAGGTCAGGCTCTGCTTCGCCAGCGGGTCTGGACATTTTGGCATTGAGGTCACTCACTTGGCTTGGAACCAGTGATAGGAATTTGTTTCTCCACTAGGCAGACAAAGCCCCCGAGCGTCTCAATATTAATGATTTTCTTTCAGGGGAGTGATGCCACACAGCCCCACCTACAATAACAGAGGTCCCAATCTCATTTGTTTGTGCTGGCATCATGTTACTTTGTGATATTTGTCAGACTGAAGCCTCTTGCAGCTCTGACACCCCCTTTCTTTTGGTCCAGTTGCGTTTATGGACAAAATAAACCTTTAACCTGTTGTAAGCCTGTCAGCACAAAAGATGTCCCTCAACAATTTTATTTGAAGAACATAGACATATTTCTGCAGTCTTTAGTCCCATACTCTTCAGATATCCCAAAAGTATCTGTCAATCGGTTAACATAAATGCTGTAATATCCATTAACCAAAAAAACACTACAGTCTTTCAACACTGAGATAAGATGATCCCTGTCACAAACCTTACCGTCACTTTGCTCCAGTTTGAACAAATTAAAAACACCAGTGGAACACCATTGTCTGTGAGCCTCACGGACTCAAACGGGTACACAGCTGTTTCTTGCCTTCACAAAACCCAGCAGAAATAAATAAAAAATTGCAGGACCTCCGCATTTCTTTGCGATGTCCCCACATGCAGAGTTTCATCTGCGTTTTTGCCATTCACACTTCAGTGTTAAGTGGCTCAGCAATTTATGTCACGATGAAGTCTTTGTGAAGAGCTTTGTGACAAAGTGTTGTGAAGGGCGCTAGACTTAGCAATTAAAAGACGGGTTAAGTGAAGAGCTTCCCTCTGGAAGACGGTTATTTGAAACTGTAAAACCTTGCTTCTCTTAAACAGATCAAGGGATATTCTCTGTACCAGATTGCCACAATAAGCTCTACATGTTAGGACTGAATAGTCCTGTTCTTCAACTGTAAGCCTACACAACCTGAGCTGATTTCCTTCCACTTCTCAGATGATAAGAAAACTTTAGATATTTCGGACTTTTTTGTAGTTGCCTAATCTGCTCTGAGCACTGGGTGCTAGACACCATTTTATCACTTCCATTTTAAGCTTCTTTCACATTTAGGTCCATGTTAACTCCATACATCTCCTACCTAATTTTGGCCTCACACATTATATCTATTTGCCTTAACAAATGCTTGGAGTTCACCAGTAACTGAACAAAACAAAAGAGGAATTAGGGGAAACAGCTAATGAAAAAAGTAAATATTGAATGAAATTTAATGAATTATATAAATCAATACATTATGCATAATCACATAATTATATAACTTAAATTGAATTATTGATTGTTGTCTTTCTGTCCTACATCTTGATGTAGGACCTGGTAATTCATGCAGTCTGCGTGGCATGAATATGTCTTTGTGGCACACCATGTTAAAAAAAAACAGGTTATTTTAAATATTTATGATATATAAAACACACAGGACTGTCAAATATTTGCTGTGATGCTTTAAGCAGAAAAAAATGAATGGATGACTAATTTAATTTTGAACTCTTCAAGTGTTTTCTTTTACATTTTCATATATGGTAGCCATCTTGCGAGGGGAAAAGTTGGTCAAAACTAAGGCCATGACAACATACGCGCTGCAGTACCGGCGGGTTTTGGTAGGGGGAGTAGTCGAAACAAAGCAAGACAATAATGGCCAGAGTAGAGGGGAGAAGACCACAAAGCATAGTGAAGGAAGAGGTAGAGACGATTACGAGCTACAACTTCCCGGATCTTATTTCTCTTCATTTATCAAATCTATGCTTAGGACTTCACATAAATGCTTTATGCAAAATGTTTAACCTAAGCAAGACAATAATATCATCTTTCATTTGAGGTGAAGCCTATTATGATATGTACTTCCTGGACAAATTCGCAAGCACGTTCAAAACTCAAAATAGAGTTAACACACCTTTCTTTCAATTGTAGAGTCACAGAAGGCAGACTTTAAACACCAACATTTCCAAGGACTTATTGTCCAAACGTGCACTCCTTTAAAGCGATACGTGAGGAATACAACGCCATCTTAAATTCACTCGCTCTGCCCAAATGGTTAATTGACACCAGGGGACTTTTAAACTACTTTTAAATTTGCATGCTCTCCCAAAAGTAGTCCATAATAGGTTGTGACGCAAAGCAGTAAAAATGAGTGATGACATTTTTCTTGACCTGTGTTAAAGAGCAAGGGGGCCCAATTAAAGTCACCGAAAATAATCCTTTATGTACATATGGGAACCTTTAGCCGCATAAACGGCGGTTTCGCCCGCACGGCCTCCATCCTGCACGAACTCTGAACAGCAATGAGTTCGCACTCATACTTCAAACCAACCGAAACGCACTTGGACAGACCCCCTCCTCAGTATTTACTGCCCATAAAGTTTCCGAGCTCCAAAGATGTTGAACGGTCTGGTTCACGGTGCGAGTAAACCGTAAGGAAACGGTCGCGTTTTAATTCAAAAGGACGTGCGGAACCGAAATTTGCAGGGGCTCTTCCCAATGAGCGCAAGCAGCTCATCTGGGGGGGTTTAGACTACGGGCCAGGCCTCCATTAGGCCCCACAAAAATAGCATTAACGTTGCGTTTGTCTACTTAAACCAATCCCAATCCCAATTTCCCGCAGACCAAAACCAATCATTTCGTTTCGATTCCCACTAATCGATTGTCCTTTCGGATTCGCGGAGTCGGTAACCAGTACTTCGATTTCAGGTTAGAGATAGCGGCCACACCCCCTTTTCCCAATGAAATGGCCTCTCCCTCAACTGGCAACAAGTGTCGTCTGCCTGCTTTTCACAACTACAAGGGGGGGGGGTTAAACTCGCACCCGCTTCCACGAAACTCAAGAAAACAAATCCGAAAAGGCGAGATAAGAGTGATTTTCACAGATCTCTTAGGATAACACAAACCATTCCGGCAGCTGCCATTAAACTGCAACAGATATAAGCTTATTCAAGTAAATGATCACCCTGTGGTGAATGATCAGCAGCCTTCGCCTCTGACTGGCAAAATGACATTTATAATGAAAAGAGACACACTTTTTATAACAACCTGCTAAAAATAAGACGAACGTGTGTAGGTGGGGGTCAAACCGAAACACAAACTGAAAATAAAATGCACCGAAGGAGCGCAAAACAAATAAAAGTAAGCAACATCCCAGCTTGTTTACTGTCACTGAACCATGTTCACACAACTGAATCTGGTCTCTCGTCGCCCAGATCCGCCTTCAGTGCTCCCACTTACCGGACTCCAGCAGATGAGCGAATCGGTATCGGGGTCTTCCACCAAAGTCCAAAGTTTCGTGAGGAAAGCAGGGACATTACTTCCACTGACCAAACCTCCACCAGAGCCACCCCCATGAAATTCCATATCCATAAAAGCAGAAAAACAACAATAAAGAAGAAGGGAGGAAAGCAACACAAAGTAAAGCAGAATCTAAACAAAACAACAAACAGATCCGATATGCAGACCACAGAAGTTCAAAACTAGACAGCAGCCTTGAAGGGTCGCAACGTTAATCCCACGTTGTATTATTCCTCTTCTCGACCTTCAGTAAATTAAATGACACTTATCACTGGCCTGCCTTTAGCCGATCGAAAATCAAGACATTGATTTTTTCACCAAAAAGGGATTTTTACGAACTGCGTAGAAACGAAACATTCCACACTAGCATGGTAGTCGCCATTTTGTGACATCACCAAAAACCCCAAAATACACATTTGGTTTCGGCAGCAATAAAATTAAATATATTGTATACTGAATTTCGTAGAAGTATTCACTATTGAAAAAACGTAGTTTTTAGAAAAACATAATTTGAGTTGATTAAAAAATTAAATATCGTGAGCCTTTGACTTTTAACCCCAATTTGCAGAAAAATTGTTTATGTTACGTAGATATCTTTAAAGCAGGGCAGATTATTTATATTTTTTTGGTTAATATTTTTTTCATTTCAAGTAGTAATAAACGACGATTTTTTTATTTCAACTCTGAACTATAAACCTTGACCCCTGCGTCCCACATGGTCAGTCTCCACAGCATGTCTGCAGCCTTCAGTGAAATTGTGCAAAACGGCAGCATGAGTAGAAAAGCTAAAGAAAAAAGTTTCAAAAGAACAGCGGAAGAAGATGAGGAACAGGTAAAATAATTAACATTATTTTTTTTTATTTGTTCAAAATACTTTCTAGTAGTATGAACTAGTTTCAGGACCGTTTAATGCCAAGATGTTTCTCAGTTTATAGAGCACTATAAACAAATATTTAAACTTCGAAAAACAGTGTTTACTTCTGCGTGTCTTTTCTGAAAATATTTTATTACAATGTATATTTCTAATTTGAGGTATTCATTTATAAACGGAACGCATAGTTAATTCCTACAATTTGCCTTAAGGAATGAGTCTTAAAACGTTGGAGTATCATTTTAAGAGATGGTTTTTTCACTACCTTAGATAGTCTCATACATTGATTATTAAAGGGAATAACAAAAAGTACATATTTTGACTAAATGTTTACTGACTGCCTTATGTTCTCTTAATATGTTAGTGTAAGGTTCGTAACCACTTGTGTATCTGACAGAGACAGTGGCCACTTTCGTCTGTAAACGAAAGATTTATGAAGAAAATAATATAATCATTTCTGGTTTCATATCCAGGTGTTTTTTTTAATTTACTTGTGATTTCGGCATCATAAGGACCTTAATAGGGTTGTATAATTCATAGGTTCAAAGCCTTAGTTAAGTGACAAATGTTGTAGTTGCCTCTCAATGTACATGTGCTGGACAAATGTTGTATGTTTTCAGTAAAGCATTAGGATTTGCTGGCACAGTGGTTAGCAATGCTGCCATGCAGCGCTAGGGCCCTGGGGT